CTATTCTGGCTTGAAACTCATGGTCATTGACGTCATCGCTTCATACGTGGTCGACTTCGAGCTATTTTGAGTTTTTGTTCGCTTTAGCTGAGCTTATAACGGAACTGCAGGTGTTTTTGCTGGCATATTGGATTCGCATTTCTGTATTACGCGTACCTCCAGACTCCAAGATTATATTCATTGACTTTACGAACCTCCAGATAAAAAAAATTAGAAGGCATTTTGAGTAATCTTCATAGTGGAAAAGGGTTTATTGTGGGTTAAACGGTGGATTAAGATATGTAATAGTTACCATATTGGATCCGCCATATAAAGTTTCGAGAATTTAAGTACGGATTAATGTTCACCGGCCTTGAAAACTCCCCAATAAAGATTTTGGACCCATTCCAGGTGGTTTTGGCACGTGGATCAAAGATTTTGTACGATCAGGGACCATGTCAGCAAATTGTCAGCGCTATGTTGACACCGCCATATTGGATTTTTCGGAAAGGCCACATGGCTTTTGAAAGGCGCTGTCCTAACAAACATTTTGAGCCGACACACGTTTTATTGCATTGCGGCAATTTTTGGACGCAGCGGTGGCCCGGTTCACGCAGAACGTCCCATATATATGTATATATGTATTATGTATATACATACACACTGCTAAAAAAATTAGGGAATTACTTTTTGTCAGTTTGCACCATTTTTAAACTGTAATTACTCAGCGAATAATTAACGTAAAAAAAGTTTAAAAAAAGGTTTTACAGGAAAAACTGTCTACTATATAAGGTGCTTTTGTTCAATTTTTATTTAGGTTAATACTCGAAGGCGTGGTCAGCTTTAAATAAGGACATATTTTTGATAAAAATCCAAAATCTTGAAATTTTCTGTCTTCCACTAATACGTCCTTATTCAAAACTGATCACGCCTTTGAGTATTAACCTGAGTGAAAATTGAACAAAAGCACCTTATAGTAGAGAGTTTGCTCTGTAAAACCTTTTATAAAACTTTTTTTTACGTTAATTATTCGCTGAGTAATTACAGTTTAAAAATGAGCAAAAATTTACTGACAAAAAATGATCCCTTAATTTTTTTGAACAGTGTATATATATCTATTTGTTATGGATACTGTGAATTAGGCTTAAGGGGGAAGCCTCGTGTAAAATTTTTTTTTGCATTTTTTTATGGCTTGAAAAATTCATGTACCATCTGAAGAATATATTTTCGAAGTTTCAAAGCCTAAATCAAATCCTAAAGGTCCCTAAGACCCTGATACTTATGATAAGAATCGAGTAAACAGGCAAGATCGACGATCACAAAAAGCGACAAAAGAGGCCAGGACTGCTCGAAAAGAGGAAAATGCAGCACAATTAGATGTTTTTCTAGAAGAGGAAGGATTATTTTACGGCCCTGGCATCACAGATTAAGCTTAGGTAAATATAAGTCACTATATAAGTCACTATCTTTAAACGCGTTTTTCTCAAAACGCTTTTTTTTCGCGCCGGGGAATATAACTCAAAAAGTTAATGGCCGATCAACTTGAAACTTTGTAGAGATATTTGTATATGTATCGTATACTTCATGAACCTAAAAATATATTAAAATTTTTATAATAAATATAGTTTTTAACGATTTGTTTAAAACAGAAAATTGAATAAATTCTTTAAATGTCCCCAATTTTTCATTTTTTGTTTTTTTTTTGCTAAATTTAGGTTCATGAAGTACAAAATATCTTATTTTAATGGAAAAAATTTAATTCGTTGATTTCAGATAATTACAAGGACCTGAGCGTTCCCCGGCACAAACTCGAGGAGCCAACTTTAAGCAGCTGTAGCGTTGCCATTTTGTTTTTTTTTCCAACAAAAAAATTTTTTCTTATACATTAAAATTTAAATATTACAATGTATTTTATTTGAATTCAATAATAACTCCCACTTTTTTGTAATAAAATCTTTAAAAAAGTGCTGTTTACACGAGGCTCCCCTGTTAAGGAATTACATGTAAATGAGGCATAAAACAGAAGAAGGCAGTAGAAGACAACATGGCGACAGAGCTGCGTAACTAATAAAGAGTTGATACATAATAACAAAGACAACATTATTGTAAGACCTATAACATGGCGCTGCGGCACAAGAACAAATAAGAAAGTGGCGAATTGCTGTAGTACACGAGTAAGAAGAGTACAAAAGTACATGGTAAAGCCAATTGTTTATTTCGTTTCTTCGCCTTGCATTTGAGTTTAGGGGGTTTCAGTGACTATTTTAAATTTATATTTTACATATTATTTCGATTAGTGTTAAAGCTGCGCGCCCTCTGTTAGTAATCGAATTAACTCCTTGGTATTTTGGCGCCAGCGCCAGCGTTAGTGTTAGGTTTGTTCGCACGATTTGTACAAGTAAGCAGCACGTTTTCACTTGTGCTCGAATAAAGCATTTTGGATTTCAAAACACTCGTATTTATTCAATTAAGAGATACCTAGTACCTCGTTAACATTTGGCGCCCCACGTGGGGCTCGGGTGGATACAATTGGATTGGAGATAGCATATCGATTTGCAAGCAGAATCGCAGCATAACCTATCGCGTAACCTCGCAGCGCGGGATCGTACAACGGCAACATGGTAGAATTGAAGAAATTGAAGGTCGCACGCGCGCAACTAAAGAGCCAGGTAACAAGAGTGAATAGTTTCTTGATATTTGGGCAGGCAATAACCCGCGAACAAGCACAAGCGTGGCTGGAAAAGCTGCAAGAAATATGGATAGCGTTCAACGAGACGCAGACGCAAATAGAAGTCGCAAAGGCGGATGACGAAGCAGACATAGATTAAGTTGCACAACAAGAATTAGGAGAACGAGAAATATTCGAGTGGGCATATTATAAGGCAGTGAATGAAGCTCGCACGATTATAGCAGCTAGCAGTTTAGATAGCGGTGCAGCCAGCGCCGGAAGCACAACAAGGAGAACAATGAGAGTTCGGATTGCAAGGTAACATTGATATAAAGTTGCCTACACTAAAGTTGCCTATTTTTACAGGCGAATATGATCAGTGGATGTTATTCAAAGACGCTTTCCAATCACTGATTTACGATAATCGCAAGCTGTCAGACGCATAGAAGTTTCAATACCTTCGAAGCACGTTAAAAGACGCGCTACAAGTCATAAGCGACCTAAATACGTCGATGGAAAATTACCTTGTGGAGTGGGATCTACTAAAAGGTCATTACGGGAATAAAAAGTTAATTATCAATAGTCATTTATCTAAGTTGTTAAAGTTTCCTACAGTCACAAAAGACAAACATGTGTCGTTAAAGCAATTCATTATGGTTCACTGTAGTTAGATTATCAATCCCAGCGAGCATGGGAAGAAGAGATCAGGCAGCAAGATCAAGATCACATGCCTACAACGGAAGAATTTTTTAAATTCCTCAATGAAAGATGCCGCACTATGGAGATATTGGGTAGTAATATTAGTCGGCAGGAGACAATTCCGAAGGGTAATGTAAACAAAGAGGTTGATAAACGAGTAGCGTTAGCAGTAATCTCTCAGATATGTTCAATGTGTAAAGAATCTCACTGTTTGTTTAATTGCTCAGACTTTTTGAAATTGTCAATATAAGATCGACTAGCAGCCGTACACTCAGCAGAATTTAAAAAATCGATTTTTGGATTTTTACATGTTGATAAAATTTTATATTATAGGGTGGGGGGGGGGGGAGGGTAAAAGCAAACAGATTTTGTCTTGAAAATCGCTACGTTAAATTCAAACGCCCATTATTTTGGCAAAAATCGATATTTTTGAAATCGGCTATGATACGCTAAAAATATTATATTTTAATATTTCATTCAATGCAATTGTAATTCGCCAGTACGAAATAATAAAACTAAGACGTATGAATCGGCCTGACTGGCATAATCATCGCATCGTGACGATTCGATTATTGGTTTTGGTCCGATTAATCTTCAGTACGTTAATAATCTTTGATACTTATCATTTAACTCATTTTTAAAATAATTTAAATTACCAAAAATCAATAACCTGTTGGTTAATTAATCAACACTTTGATTAAGGTGACTAAACTTAAGAAATTTATTTTTTTGAAATACACAACGCTTCGTTCTCGTTATCTTAAGCGACTCTGACTCCGTCTCCTCTTCGCTCGTGGTGGCTTGCTTAGCAGCGCCACAGATAGTGTGAAATAAACGTCGGTAAGGTAGTACTAGCGAACTCTATTGCCAACAATATTTCCTAAAGTAAACTTATACACTTCGAGGCATAACGGGGCACTAGTCCGCGGGGTATAATTTCTTCATATGATATCCTATCAGTATTATGCTATGTTGTGCAATATATTACACCAAATTATTAAACCACATTTTGATTTTTATTTAGGATATTTTAATAATATTTATGCGTTTTAATAAAAAAAATGTGGGTATACTAAGAAAAGTACATGTAATAATTATCAATAAATAATTATTATTAATTGAAAATAGAATGATACATTTTTACGTATATTGTGTGTCATGACAAATTACTTTTCACAAGTTTTAGGCATTAATATTTGAGAATTAAATAAGTTTTATAAGGTATCCCTTTATACCCCGCATAAAATCCATAGTAAGGTTAACTCGCACGTTTTCAAAAAATAATAATTTCGTCCTTTTAAACTATTCTTTTGTAGTAAAACTTGCATTTTTCTTATAGGAGACATTTCAAAAAATATTTTAGTACAATACAAAGTTCATTTATTTATTGTTAATATGTTGTAAACTTGATTAAACCTTAGCGTTCCCGTTATGCCCCGCGTTGCCCTACTCAATTTTATATGTCTAATATGTTTTATGACAATCTATAATTATTTAAAATTTTATTGTAATTAATTCTTTGTAAGAATTAGATGTACCTAATAAAATAATTATTGTGATGAATTGTTACAGTCGTAATAATTTATTTAATTCAAATATTAAATTATCATAAACGATATGCTATATGTGTATGTGAAAATAAATTGACACTTACAATATACTATCATAGACGCATTTGCCGTTCGTTCATCTGCAAAGGTAGATATAACGCATGTATATTCGCCGGTAAGATCGATACCCGGCTTATTCAACTTTATGGCTCGGTACTCGGTGTATGGATCATTGCTGGCTTTATAAGTTAGATCGATGTATTTTGCAACAGGTTCGTCCGCTAGAGGATGTCTGCCGTAAATCCATTGATAGACCACTTGGTTGGTGTTAAAAAACCATTTGACGACGAGACCCTTGCTCGATGTGTTCTCAAGGTCGTAATCGCAATCAAGGATAATGTAATCGGTATCGTTAACTTTTACAATAGCTGGTATGTTGATGCTTTTGATAATCAGTTGCCAAGATTCTGTAAACACACAAAAATATATTTTGTTATTGGTAATACAAACAATTTTTCTACATTATATATTTATAAAAACTTACTTTTTTTAAAAAGGTGTAAAAAAAGGCGCCAAGTATACGCACCTGTCTACCTACAAGAAGTATGATATTAAAAAGAGCTTCAAGAGTAAAGGAAAGAAGATGTATACTGATGTATATTTCTGATGTATACTTCAAACTTTGAAAAAAAACAGTTAAATATTTTAAAAATTTATCAAAATTTAAGAAATATTTAATGCAAAATAACTTGGCGTTGCTGCACCTGAAAATACTTGAAAACAATTAAAATGTATATACACTGCTCAAAAAAATTAGGGGATCACTTTTTGTCAGTAAATTTTTGCTCATTTTGAAACTGTAGCTACTCAACAAATAATTACGTAAAAAAGTTTAAAAAAAGGTTTTACAGAGCAAACTCTCTACTATAAAGTGCTTTTGTTCAATTTTCACTTAGATTAATACTCAAAGGCGTAGTCAGCTTTGAATAAGGACGTATAATAAGGACGTTGAGATATCCAAAATTTTGAAATTTGTAGACTTCCACCGCCTAACAAAAAATTAGCGAACATACTCATTAATACCATCTCAAAGTACGGACTTTGCTTTTTTAAATGAAAAAAAAACTTTGTCCTACGCCTACTATTTAGCGAGATATTGCTATTTAAAGTAACCCTTGTTTCTTTACGATTTTAGCACAATACCGCCGGCATTTGTGTAACCTGATGTGCATGTTGCTCAATAAAATTTTGCACATTATGTATGTATGTGTATATGGAGTGTTACATGTGTATGTGTGTATGTACACACACATTTTTTTTT